GTGTGCATTTTTGCATTGGTTGGATTGATTTATAACTGGAAACAGCAGAACCCCCCTTCTCTGAAAAACCACAAGGTCTGATTTCGTTGTTAGAGACAGTTTTTCACACTCATCGTCCCACTTGGGATGGCTGTCAGCAACTCTTGCAGGTTCTTTTTACTTCCGAGGAGCGCGATCGGATTCACCTCGAGGCTCGGAAGCAGGTTCTTGGCACAGATGGCCAACCCACCACTGACCTGGTTATTCTGGAAACGCGCCTCCCGGCCCAACAACCCAACTGGGACCCAAATACCTGCCCCGGGGAAGGAGTTTTAACCAGGTACTGTCAACTTCTTTTGCAGGGCCTTCGTGGCACAGCCCGAAAGCCCACTAACCTGTCTAAGGTGAGTGAAGTTGTTCAAGGACCCCGGGAGTCCCCGGCCTCATACCTAGAGCGTCTGCTTGAGGCATACAGGCAATATACGCCTATAGACCCCCGGGCGCCCGAAAACGCGAAGGCTATTAACATAGCCTTTGTAGGACAGTCGGCCCCAGATATTAGAAAAAAAAGAAAAAGAAAATATTCAGAAACTAGATGGGTTTGAAGGTAAAAATCTTAGTGAATTAGTTTAAATAGCTCAGAAAGTCTTCAGCAACCAGGAGGACCCGGAAGTTGCAGGCGCAAAGAAATTGACAAAAGTCGTCTTAGCTACACTACATGAGATGGGTAGCAAAGGACAAGGGATTGCCCAACGGCGGAATAGGACCTCTCCCGAACGAGGAGGCCGTCCCCAGTTAGGAAAGGATCAATGTGCGTACTGTAAGGAGATGGGCCATTGGAAAAATGAATGCCCCCGGAGGAAGAGGGTGGAGTCTCCTCACACTTGAAGACTGACGGGGCCAGGGCTCTGTTAACCTCGGCCCCCGAGAGCCCTTGGTAACTTTGACTGTCGGGGGGCCGTCCGACCACGCTTTGAGGAACAGGCACCCGAGGTTCCATCGGAGGCTCTGAGGGAGCTACAAAAAGAGGTACAGGGGGTGTGGGCTGAAGATAATCCCCCTGGTCTGGCATCTCATCAGCCTCCGATCATCGTACAACTTAATAGTTCAGGAACCACAATACCCTATTCCGACCCAGGCGGAATTGGGAATACATAAGCATATACAGAGACCTTTGGAAGAGGGAATTCTAGTACCTTGCAGTCGCCGTGGAATACCCCCCTGTTGCCAGTCAAGAAACCCGGCTCTGAAGATTACCGACCTGTCCAGGACTTGTGTGAGGTAACTGCCTGGGTAGAAACTGTTCATCCTACTGTGCCCAATCCCTACACTCTACTCAGTCCCAGGGGAATAATTTTGCTGATAAAACCGCTAAGGAAATCGCCTTAAGACCAGTAGGGCCACTGGAGATTCTCCTGGTTCAGCTGCCGCCCCAGGCCCTACCTGACCGCCCAGCCTACTCAGAGAAGGAAATTGAGTTAGGAAACGAACTGAGATGCTCGAAAACTGAGAGGGGATGGCTGCGCCATCCTGATGGGAGGGTTCTCCTTCCCCAAACACTCGGCCAAGACCTTCTTCTGAAGACCCATCAGGCTACACACCTCGGAACGACCCGACTCTGCCAACTGTTCCGCCCCCCATTTCTACTTGCCCGGACTCTCGACCCTGGCCGATTCTATTGCCTCCAGGTGTGCCACGTGTGCCCAAGTTAATGCAGGTGCCAGCCGGCCCTCCACTGCTCAGGGCACCCGACGGCGGGGGCAGCAACCAGGTAACCACTGGGAACTTGACTCCACCGAAATAAAACCAACCCGAGGCAAGTACCGATACCTTTTGGTTTTCGTGGACACCCATTCTGAGGTGGATAGAAGCCTTCCCCACCAAGGGGAAGACGGCAATAATTGTTACCCGGACTCTACTACACCAGGTAATACCCTGATTTGGCCTCCCCTAGCTCTGGGGTCTGACAATGACCTGGCGTTTATCGCCCAGACTTCCAAACTGGTAGCTAAGGCTTTAGGAATTGATTGGAAACTGCATTGTGTCTATCGACCACAAAGTTCAGGGCAGGTAGAAAGGATGAATAGGACTTTAAAAGAGACTCTGACAAAATATTCTATTGAAGTTGGCGGTCACTGGGTAGATCTTCTTCCCTTTGCCCTTTTGCGGACGCGATGTCCCCCCACAAGAAGGGGTTTGCTCCCTTCGAGATAATGTTCGGAAGACCCCCGCCCCTGATTCCCCGCCTCACAGAGGAGGTACGGGCTGAGGTATCTAACGGAAACTTGCTTGAGTCCTTACAGGCCCTTGACCGAGTCCGGGGGGAGATCCGTCAGGAGGTTCGGCCCAGCAGTGGAAACGCTGATGGAGACGCCATCCGCGCCCCCAGTCCTCCCCCTTCTGTACTCTAGGCGCCTGGTGGCAGGGGCAATACCTAGTGATCCTCTCTACTCCCACGGTGGTAAGATTGGCTGAAAACCCCATTGGTTCCATGTGACGCAGATCAAGCCTGCCTCGCCAGAACATTCAGAAAAATGGAAGAATCCGCACCAGCCGATGCAGGTGAAGTGGACTTTGCGGACAGACCTCCCCTCTTATGGCATCCTCCGCCGGTGGCGACCATTCTGACTCCAGAACAGAAGGGGCCTGGACTTACTCTTGCTTAAACAAGGAGGGTTATGTGCTACCTTGAACGAAAAATGCTGCTTCTATGCTAATCATTCAGGGGTCGTGCAAAATAGCCTGGACGTGGTTCGTTCCCGGTTGGAGGAGCATGATAAGCATCGCAAGGCATCCTCCAACTGGTATCAACGCTTGTTCAATTGGTCACCATGGCTCACCAGTCTGCTTTCTTCCTTGGCCGGGCCTCTGCTAGGCCTGCTATTCTGCTTGGTGTTCAGCCTGATACTCATTCGCTGGCTGACTCGCACGATTCAGGAACGAGTTAACACGGCCAAAATCTTGGCTCTGACCATCTTGGCCCATACTGGCTATTCCCGACTTCTGACCCCAGTCCCTGAAATCAAGGGTTTGATTTTCCGTTCAGAATAGGAGGGAATGAACTAGGCTAGCTAGCAGCACAGAATACCCGCTTACCACTTATTGAACCTAGCCCACCCTTGCGCACGGCACACCTACTTGCTAACTACTTTATCTGAAAGGTACAGGGTATACCCCTACCCTCTCAGAGTCACACAAGCATGACCATGCAAAACCAAAAACAGGATGAAGGTGGTGATAGAGATGCACAAGAAGCACTAGCGCAAGGCCAGGCAGGGAAGATAACATGTCTAAGAGGCCTGCAAGACCCGGATACCAGCACGATTAGGGGTGGTCAGCAGAAACTGTGGCAAGAGACGTGCCGAAGACATACGTTAGTACTTTTTCAGAGATAAAGAAATGCCAAAAAAGGCTTGTAATACCGTACATAGGGACCGCACTTTACTAAAGTGTTGGTCCCTGCACAGGTACAATAAAGGAGTTTCTTCTCTCCACTCTGGTCTTGTGGTCTGTTTGCCAAGGACTGACAAGGCGTCCGTTGAGATATAACAAAAACCAGTTAAATCTTGCGAACAGGTTTTGTTGGAGCAAGCTAGTAGGGCTCTTGCAGTTTCAATTTACATCAACTTCCTGAATCATGAACAGCCAATTAAAATCTAGAGAAACACCAACAGTAAGTTGTGATCTGAAAAAGCTCCATAGCTAAGCAGAACTTCTGCTGAACCTGTGCTTGCTTGCTTGCTTGCTTGCTCTTGGTAAGTGGCATGCGTGTAACTGTTACTGTATGCACTGTTATTTAATGTGGTTTTCTTTTCATACTAAAAAATACTGAACTGAGTTAGTGAATGGAGAGATCTTCCAGAAATAATGTAATAATCCATTTTTGCTTCAGAAAACAGAGAAAGCATAATCAATGCTGCTTTTGTAGGTTTAGCAAGAGTAACTGTGTGTGTGCATCTAAACTTGCATGTGTACCCAGATATGTTGTATCAGGAATATCTGGATTGCATTTCCTAACATATCCTGATTGCACAGTTTTACACCATTCCTATCGTGCAAAGTTGGCTTTGTGCAATATTGGAATGGTGTTGGGAGGTTCTTTGGAGGGAACAATCTTAGGAAACAAAATTAGCATGACCAGGATTGATATCTTACATGCAATTTCATAGGAAGAAGTCACTCAGTAGAATTTTCTTCTAAGCAAGTATGTATAGGATTGAGTTGCAAACCCCAAGGGATGTGGGGGACTCCAGTGTCCTCCCCTGTTCCATTCAGGGGAGCTTAACCGAGAATAGTGTTTGGAAGCAGAAGCCAAGTGCATTTTATCCCTGTAGTCAGGATGGTCCTATGAAAGCTTAAAATGCTTTAAATATGTTTGTTTAACGTCAGGGCTGGTGGATATTCTAAAACAGAGAGAACACACAACATTTGTAAAGCATGGGGGAGAAGGGAAAATGGTTGTGTGCATCACTGCTGAAGCAACACACAGAGCTGCCCCTTGTGAGACTTATGTCTGGGTTCTAAAGTTGCCCATGGTGCAACTTCAGTGGGGCAGGATTCCTTTTACAGTGGTGAGTACTCAGGAAAATCAGAGTTAGTATGGGTAGGCTTCTGATTCTGAGCTTTCCCCGCAATGATGGAATTTGAGAAGATGCTTTGGGGATCCAGACCTTTCACTTTGCTGGCACGGCTTTGCAAAGGGAAGCACCTTTCCTTCTCCACAGTGGTGCCCAGACTATGGAATCTGCTCCCCAGAGAGGTCCACCTGGTGCCAACGTTATCCTCTTTCTGGCGCCAGGTAAAGACCCTTTTATTCAACCATTATTTTAATAACCAACAGTTTTAGATGTTTTAGGATTTTTCCCTTCACAGTCACACTTTTTATTTTTTCCTCCTTTTTCTTAAGTTCGTGATGTCTTTTATATTGTTTTAATAATTGAGGTTTTATATTGTATTTTTATATTTTATATTGTACTTTTATATTTTGTAAGCCGTCCTGAGCGCTTGGCGATATGACTGGATATACATGCCTGTAATAATAATAACAATAATGATTGACTAGAGACATGTGCAGGGGCAGCCCCTGAAGTGCCTATTGAAACTTTAACTTTCATTTCCTCTCCTCTTAGTAAAGATCAGATGATTTCCCTGAACTAGGAAGGCTTATTGTTGGTACCACCCTGCTTTTCATGTTCTAATCTTCCAAAAAAGACAGGTTGCATCTGCTAAAAACATGTTCACTGCCAATGTGATTTTCTACTTTCTTGTAAAGACAGTTGGGGAAAGTGACTTTTGCACAGGGCTGACTATCATTTGGAACTTCCATTTTTGTTACCATAATTGATACAAATCTTGCCCTTCTTTGCAAGGAACAGCGAACAACAACAACAACACAGAATGTCCCATCCCTGCACAGCGAACAACTCAAATGAAACACAAAATAAAACACACCTGGGGACACTTTGACCCTCATCTGAGATGCGACAGGGATGCTGCAAGATACTTTGCCATATTTGTGCAACCATCATTCACATTCTAATACTTTTTTCTGAACACAGAACCATTTAGACTTAGAATATACACTTATAAAAAAGGGTAGACATTTAACTTCCTTAAAAAAGCTTTTTTTTAAAAAAAAGAAGACACTTCAAAGTTGATAAGAGTAAGAAAGACTGCCAATGATGAATGCAAGAGTAGCATATGAAAAGCACAGGAAATGTAATCAAGTTCCAAGAATTATTATCAATATCCAAGTGGCTTATGAAGGAAAAGGTGTTCATGGTGGATGGTTAGAGAGAGTCACAGAGAGAGGATTTGTGCTAGCTTTGCACAATAATAATGGAAGTGGAATAGTGAGACAATTCTGGAAAAGTGAAGGAATTATAACATAGAGACATAGAAACAAGAGCGAGTCAGAAGGGGTCTCCCAGGCCATCTAGTCTGACCCCTGGCTCTAGCCGGCTCCGCTCATGACATGCCTACCATGTGCCTGTCTACTGTATCCTTGAACACCCTCACCAATGGAATGGGAAGCATTTAATGCTGATATGATAAAATGCTGGTCTAAGCCATCTTTTCATATGTTGTTGTGATTCCCCCTCATCTTTTTCTGGAAAATTTAATTTATTCAAAATATGAAAAAGAAACTATAGTTTAAGTGAAATGAGTGAGGCACTTTGGGTCTAACTTGTGCAATGCTATGCAAAAGAAACCCAAAAGAACAAATTTATTGAAATCAATATCTGTATAATATAAATATGCCATTGCCTTACAAAGAAGGAAAACATGTATTTAGTGACTGCATTATATTCTGTCTTGGGTGGGCTTAGTAATTTGCAGTGTTTTTTCCTATCGTGCCTGGCAAACTGTAGCAGTTATTTCAGAGACAGCCAATGCTGGAAACACACTTTTTCTGTTGGCGATTGAAAAAAGACGTTGGGAGAGGAGCTCAAATCTGATGGCAAGTCAGCTTTCCCCAGGAGCTCCAAGACTCCTTGTGGAGGCAGAGAAAGTGCCCACAAAAATGTACAACCCTGCAAGGTAGCCCAGAGGTACAAATTGGACCTCCTCAAGGATTTTCTTGTTAAGTCGGAGTAGAAACTACCCTAAATGATTTGAGGGAGATTTTTTGGACATGACTGGTTCTCTCTTTAATCATCCTTCCTCAACCTGGCACCCTCCAGCAATGTTGGACTACATTTCCCATCAACCCCATATTTATTTATTTAAAACATTTTTATGCCACCCCCATCACAACGAAGCCTCGGGGCGGCTCACAACAGAAACAAAATACATAAATACATAAATAATAACAATATAACAATAAAAAAAATATTTAAAAACCCCCGGTGCATCTCGGCTAAAAAATTAAAATCCTATAAATACAAATAATTTAACAATTAAAATAAGTTTTAAATAAAAAGGTCTTAGCCTGGCGCCGAAAAACAAATGATGACGGTGCCAGGTGGACCTCTCTGGGGAGCGCATTGTCAGTGGTTTAGAATGATGGGAATTGCACTCCAAAACGTTGGGAGGACATTACACAGGAATGGTTGCCCTGGATAATGCTCTGATGAGTTTCAGAGCACAGAAAAGTTCTTCTAAGACATGTATGTGTTTATAGTTACAGTTCCTAAGTTACACCTTCTTTAAAGAATATATGCTGAGTGAGAAGACAGAGGGTGAATTTGTAAAACAGGGCAACCCGCTCTGCAAATAAGCTACCCTTTGTATGCTACTCACACGACAACTCATTGTGCACCTGGCAGATGTCCCGGTTCGCCCTAGGTAGCCCTTCACTCCTTCCTCCTTGGTCCTCTATCAGGTATCCCAGGGTTCTGTGTAGCAGAACCCATCTTGTTTTCTTGCCTCACTCCAGTTGTAACCCTTTTGCTCACCAACGTTTGCTCTTTCCCCTGGGCTTTTCATGATTCCAGCGAGTGGCAGCCCGTGGCAAAATGCCCATGTGGCACATTCCAGCAACTGTCATTTGTTCGCCTTTTTCAATTTATATGCACCAGAAAAGTGTGCAAATGCTTTTATTTATTTTTTTAAAATCTGCTTTTTGTATGTGTATTGGTATACACTTGTAGGTGTCCAAAATGTGAAATCTTGTTTGTTCAATGTCCTAGTAAGTGTGAGACAGTGACGGCTTACAAGACATTCTATAGGGGACGGGATAGAAAAGCTTTTAATTAATTAATTAATTAATTAAATGAGTGTCTGCTATCAAAGTCCATATCATTCATGGACACTGAGGAAATGAGGCTGCAAATAAGCTAATTTTTGCCACTGGCGAGCTGTCCATTGAAAAGCAAAGCTTGTGAAGGGATCTTTGCTTGTGTGGTGGGTAGCAAGTGTCGCTTCCCTTTAGCGGTGAGATACTCTACTCCAGCAGACCCCAGTGCTCTCCTCCATTTCATGTCTGCTTGAAATCTGTCAAAATGATTATTTAGTTTTGAAATCTAGAAGCAATCCAGGTTCATACAACATTACAACCCACCATGACCATGTGGAGTTTGCCTTTCGTGTGAGTCCTACACAAGAGACATCCTCTTAGCATATAGCCCAGGAGTGTTCAACCTGAGGGCCATTTTCTATTTTGAATAACCTCTCATGGGACACATTCCAGCAGAACAAAAAGAGAGAGGGCCAAAAGATATGCTGATTTCCGTTTCTGTATCCTACTGGAACCCAGCCCCTCACACAGCCCCTTCTTCCTTCCAAGACATTTCTGCGCATGAAGAAATCTTGCTAGTTTTAATTGTTGCAAGCATTCTGTTTACACCA